AATATTTAGGTATAATTCCATACAGAGATTCAAGAAACATATAAAGAAAACGTCAAAACACTACTGCAAAAATTTCAAAGAGATCTGTATAAATGGAAGACTATACCACATTCAGGGAGCCCTAGTGGCCTTGGGGCAAGAAGCTGCACTGCAATCCCAAAGACACGGGGTTCGAGGCCACTCTGTGGGAGAAGGATGGGCAGTCTCCTCCCATGTGATTAACTGCCTCTTAAAACCTGTCAAAGGGGCAGCTATACGTGCAAGGGTTGTTGTTGTTGTTGTTGTTAGGTGCCATCAAGTCAACTATGACTCACAGTGACCCTGTAAACAACAGATCTGAACCTTGTCCTGTCCTGTGCCATCCTCATGACGTCTGTCATTGGACACAGTGGCTGCTACAACGGGATTGAGCATGACAGATATCATGAGGGTATCCTAGGTAAGAAGACTGAGCACTGAAAACGTAATTACCCAAGTGATCTGTAGATGTAATGCTGATCCAGGTCCCACTGTTCTTCTTCAAAGGCTTGGGAAAAGTAATCAGTAACTTTCTATGGAAAAGAAAGAGGCCCTCAAATGAGCAAATCACTACTGAAAAAACAACATAGGTCAAAGCACTACTAAAAAAAAAATAGGTGGCCTTACACTTCCTGATTTCAGAATGTACTGTCCAGTCATGGAAGTCACAACAGCCTGGTACTGGTAAGATGGCAGATACATAGACCAATGGACTAGAACTGGGAGCGCCAAGGAAATCCAGCCACCTCTGGCCAGCTCATCCTCGACAAAGTGATGAAATCCGTTAGCTCACGGAAAGAGGCTTTTGAATAAATGATGCTAGAATAACTGTTTCTAGGTACAGAAAAATCGAAACAGGATCCATACCTCACACCATAAACAAAAACTAACTAAATTAGTGGATCGAGCACTGAAATAGAAACCTAAAACTCTAGAGATCTTCAAAGAAAAAACAGAGACAAACTTGGGGGCTCTGGTCTATAAAACTATGAGATATAACAAAAGTATACATTCAGCAGAGGACAAGCTAGATCATTGGGATGTTTTGCAAGTTAAATTATTTTTTATTTAATGTGGAACAACAACAACAAGAAAGCCTTTCTCCAAAAGTGTGAAAGAGAATCTATAGATTGTGGAAATTATTTGGCAATGACATACCTGACAGGGAATTTTTCTCTAAAATTCATAGAAAACTCTGATGCCTCAACAAGAAAAAAAAATGGAAAAAATCCAGTTATAAAATGGTCAGAGGATATAAGAAGACATTTCACTAGAGGATATATTCCGATGAAATGTGGGAAAGCATGTAAAGAAACCCACATGATGGTTAGCTATTAGAGAGAGGTAAATTCAAACATCCAGTCACAAAAGCAAAATTCAAGAAGACAATAAACAAACACTGCAAGTATATGACAAGATTGGAACGCTAACACATGGCTGATGAGAATGTAAAGTGGAAAGCACTCTGGCACTTTCTAAAAAGGTTAAAAGTTGAAATATCATTTGATCCAGTAATCCCTTTATGATGTATAAATTATAAAGAGAAATTGCTGCAACATAAACAAACACATGCACGTATACACACTCACTCACACCCACACACCCCATCTCCTCTGGTGGCCTAATGGTAAGAAACCGTGCTGCAATCTCAAACATAGGTGGTTCAAATCCACAGGTGCTTCATGGGAGAAGGATGGGCAATGTACTCTCATGTGATTTACTGCCTCTGAAAACTTGCTGATGGGTCAGCTATGGGTCGGTTCCAATGGATGGCACACAACAACAGCATGTCCATTACAATACTATTTACAATAGCAAAGAGAAGCAATCCAAGGGTCTATTACCAGACAAATGAAGAAAAAAAACAACAGTACACAGGATACTCAAACTATGATACACGGGAGACTCAAACCCACTCAATTGTCATCCAATAGCAGCTGACTCATTGTGACCTTTGAGCATGTTCCCAAGGCTGTAAATAGCACACAGGAGGAGAATGCCCATCTTTCTCCAGTGGAGCAGCTGGTGGATTCAAACCACAAGAGAGGCATGGCCTTTGGCCTAACACCAAAATGCCTCATGGATTATGCCACCAGAGTTCTCTAATGGAATACTATGCAACTGTGAAAAAAATAGTGAACTGTTAAAACACCACGTAAATAAATCACAGACATATATTAAGATGGGTGAAGGGCAAGGCAACATATCTTAAAGGGATAATCAGCCCAATATCATTAAAGGGAAGACGTGGCAATAGACACAAGAAATAACACTGATCAAAGGGAAACACCGTAACGTACATAATACTGCATTATCAGCAATAATAGCCCTTAATCTACCAGCAGGTTCGGAAGCTCTGGTGACATCACCTGTAGCGTGTTGAGCTGCTAAACCAAACACTGTGACTTTCTGATGGTTCAGATTCATGAGCAGCTCCAAGGTAGAAAGATGGGGAATTTCCTTCCATGCATTTTACAACCTCGGAAACTTGCTAGAAGGTTAGTTGTGAGTTAGTTCTGACTCAAAGACAATGGGAATGAGAATTGACAAGCAGATTCTTAGACAAATGAGCAAGATAAATGGATATGGACAAGATGAGCAAGGATGATATTGATGACCACACGTAAGACTGGCAGATGAGATTCCTCCGGTCATATTAGTATATGCAATTGTTGTTGTTTGGTGCCGTCAAGTCGTAGACGACTCATAGAGACCCTATGAACGCAAGGACTGAGCACTGTTCATACACAGAGTTTCCGGAGGCAAGCCATTTCGGAAGTGGATGCCGCTCCTGCTTCCAGGCTTGTTTTAGTTAGTCGGGATATGCAATAGTATATGCTATAAATAGATCCAAACACAGGCCAAGCCCCATACTAAATCTTAAGTATTCAGTAGTGACAATAAAGACCAGATACCTGTCCTCATGGAGCTTGTGATCTAATAAATGAGTTCAAATTTAGCCCCAGAAAAGTCACACAGTCTGTCCTATGAATGGGAGCTCAGTGAGCCAAGCTGGTGATGTGGGGCAGGGGGACTCCAGGCAGAAGGGGCAGTATGTGCAAAGTCCCTGTGGTAGGAGGAAGCTTGGTAATGTTCCAGGAAGTAGCCCGGGGCCTGCAGAGCTGGAGAGACAAGAGCAGAGAGGAAGATGCAGTTGGAGGGGCCTCTGCCCAGCTGGTGAGCTGTGCTGGAGGTTTTATCTATATCCTGCATCACATGCTCAAGCCTTAAGAAATTCATCTATTTTCCAAGGTCTACAGCACTCAGTCTTGTCTTTGGTGTCTCTCAGGGGCTGTTTCCTTGTTGGAAAAATGAAGAGAATAACAGTATCTACTGTGTAGGATGATGCGAGAATTAAATGCAGTCACACATGACGAGCACACAGCTCGGTGTCTCGCACATACTTATTTCCTTCCATCCACATTCCATTTGCTTTCATCCTCAGACCTTGTCCAGACTCAAGGCACAGCCCCAGGTACTGGGGAATCTCGACCAAGAGAGACGTAAAGGCCCTGGTACCAAACAGTTGTTCCCTGTCTTCTCATTACAGGCTGGTTCGCTTCCAAACCACCATAATAAACCAAGTATCACAACAAAGTGAGTCACATAAAACTCCTGGTCACCCTGTGCATGTAAAATTACCTTTATACTATACCTTAGAGCCGTCTCCTATGCAATTTAGTCTCTGAAAATCCGCTGGAGGGTCAACTATGAAATGGTTCTACTCAATGGCACACAACAACAACAACAATTTAGTCTCTTAAGTGTGCCATGGCATGAAAACACTTGATACATTGGAGGAACTACCAAAAGGTGACCCAGAGACACAAACTGGCACATACTGTTGGGAAAATGGCAGTGACAGACTTGTGAGATACAGGGTTGCCACAAACGTTCAGTTTGCTTTAAAAAAATCCTCCCACACACTATCTGCACAGTGCAAGAGTGTAAGACAATTTTTCTTTTACTTTTCCAAGAGGGTAGTGTACTAGGGGGGAGGGTTAGGAGAGGAGAAAAGTGCGACACTGAATGAATGGAAATCCAAAGTCTCTAATTTTTTACTGAAATTAATAAATTTAAATTAAAAAAAGAGTGTAAGACATAGGTTAATGCTGTATGTTTGTATTTGTTTAGGGGGGCCGTGGGGAGTTGCACTGCTAAGGCAAAGATAGAGCCTCTTCACTGGTTCAAATCCACCAAAGGTTCCAAGAGGAAAAGCTGCATCAGCTGTGTGATCTACATGCTCAGAAACTGCCCAGAGGGTCAACTGTGAGTTGGTTCTGACTCAGTGGCTGGGTTTGAGTTTCAGCTTGTATTTGTTTGGGATCTTTCAATAAATACTGCATTCCTACCCCTGCCAGTCGCCTGTGCTAGACGCTCAGCACGTACAACACTGGCATGGGACCTGCCTTCTGGCATTTATTCTCTCGTCCACCTTCACTGACATTATTACATCATCTCCTCCAGGAAGCATGCGATACACGCACCGGTTCAGGTGCCTCCTCTGGCTCCCTACACCCTCTGTCATGTCACATGTCACTCTTAAATATCACTTTTTAAAAAATATATAGAACAAATATGCTTTATTTAAAATGTAAGCTTTGGTGAAAGCTAACTGAGGCTCCCTAGTGGCATCAGCACCAAAGAGAAGAGTATTTTGAAATATAACTTCTGGTCCTATGTGCAGGGCGACTGGACTGTGAGCTCCTGGAGGACAAGGCCTGGGTCCCCATCATCTCTCCCCCAGCATTGAGCCCAGGGCTTGGCACATGGAAAGCCAGGCACATGGAAAGTTTGCGGAGTGACTGCTACAATGCCCAATGGCAGGTCACACAGGTAGAACAGGGAAGCCCCGCCTCCCAGTGATAGCCCCACCTCCTTCATCCACAGGTGTCAGTGGTGAGTGAGCCCTTGGAAGAAAGGCTCAGCAGCAGTGGCCAGAGCCGGGGCGCCCCTCCCTCCCGCCTGTCCCCCGGACTCACTGAGAAGCTGTCTGCTGGAGTCGCTCACTGTCACGTTCTCCTGCCAGAAGGGGTTCATCAGCGGCGTGCAAGGGCTCTGGACTGGAGAAATCAAAGGGCAGGGACCCTGCAGTTCCAACCCCCAGCTCTCAGGCCTCCGCTCATACCTGACCATACAGAATTCTCAGTAACGTTTCTCAATTCTCATCAATTTTAGTGCTAGAATAAGATAGGATAAATGTAATTATAAACTGCTTAGACACAGTATTCCTTAGATTATAAGAAGGTGGGCAGGCAGCAAAACAGTTTTGCAAAATCCTTCCACACTTAGTCACAGCATTCTTGCAATCTGAGTGTGAACTTTGACTTTCCTCTTTTCCCTTCAACTACTATTTACTCTCAAGCGAAAGTTATTTCTATTTATTCACTGATATGAATTATTGTAATGTTACAGCTAAAACACCAGAAAACTGGCCCAAGTCTGCAAATGAAGCCAGGTGATTCGGGGCAGTAACCCATCGTCCACGCTGGATTCACACTCGCTGTGACTGTAGAGGAGAAGGCAGAACTGTCTCCACAGGTCTTCCAAAGAGAAAGATGGGTAGTCAGTCGCCAGCTACAAGGACATACAAGCCTCACAAACCCAAAGGAGGGTCACAATGAATGGGGAGGAATCCCGTGGCAATGAGTCATCTGTTCAGAAGCGATTGTCACATCTTTCTCCTACAGAAAGCATCTGCAGACTTGAACAGCTGATGTTTCCTTCAGCAGCCCAATGCTTTACCCACTGTGCCAGTGGGGTTCCAAGGAATATCAAAAGGTTCGGGAAGTAAATCAGCTTAGACTTTGAGCCTTACAGGCCTATCAAGACATTTAAGCTGAGTTTACCACCCCACCCCCCAAAAAAATGTTTTCTTATAACTACAGGAATTTGTTTTCTCCCCTTCTGAAACGCTACATCAATATTTGATAGACTGTCATTCTGGTTCCCCCATCTCCGATGGAGTGTGCACCCACCTCACTAGTGACGCCACTGCCCCCTCACCCCACATTTTGGGCTTTGGGGAGGGGCGCGTGCCCAGCAACAGGTCCCAGGGAGTAAGTAAAGGGAGCAGAGGGGCGCGCTCGTGGCCACAGCCCCTGCGCCCCGGGTCCCTCGCCCCGCCCCCCCCTTACCCCGGCAGGTCCGCCACAGGCCCGAGTGGGAGCTCAGCTGCTCGGGCTGGCTGCGGTTGGCGGCTCCCCGCTCGCTGTGCTCCAGTCGCTGGGTGTCGATGATGTACCAGAAGTCAGTGCCGATGGCCGCCGCCAGCAGCACGAAGCTGAGCGCCCCGCCGAGCGCCGCCGCGCCGGCCAGCGCGCCCAGGTGCAGCCGCATCCCGGAGCCTGGGCCCCGGCAAGGGCTCCCGCTGCCAAGGGCTCCCGCTGCCGACGCGCCTCTGTGTCTCCTCGCACTCGGTCGGTCTCTGGACCTCCCCGCTCCGCCCTCAGACCTCACGTCCAGATGCTGGAAGCTCCGCTCTGGACAGGGCTTCCTCTCTCAGACCTGGCTCCGCCCCTCGGACCCTCACCTGCGCCCTCACACCTGCAAGTACCCAGCCTCAGACCCTCAACTCCCAGCCCTCAGGCGCCACCTCTTACCCTCAGACCCTCACCCCTTCCCTTCTGACCCTAAAACGCCCACCTCCTCATGTGGACCGCGATCCCAAAATGAATGCACCCTCTGGCCCCCCAGTTCCTCACTCTGAGGCTCTCAGTTGCTCCCCTGCCCCCCTCGCCTCTCCCCTTTATCCCACGCCTCGCCCGAACTCTCCACTTGCAGCCAGCACTTCAGCGGTCTTCTCTCCACCGCCCTTTCCTTCTCCCAGCACAGCTGCGCCCAGTCTGTGGCTGGAGGGTCGATGAGAATGGGGGGGGGCCTGTGCAGAATCTGAGCGGAGGGTGGCAAGCAGGGGCGTGGCCGACCTGAGGTCCTACCTGGAGTCAGCCTGTCATCTTAAATCCTACCTTTCCCTAACCCCACCCCTCAAACTCCAGTGATCTTTCTGCCAAATCTACAGACCAGTGGTTTCCCCCGGGCTGGTTACAAATGTGCATTGGAAGGAAGAGGATTCAGGCTGGTTTGTTTGTTTAAAGAAGTTCCTTAAAGCAAGCCCTCTGCTTCTGCCAGGTTCACCATGCATCTTCTTCCTTTATCATCATACCATCACCCCAAGAGCTTCTGCACCACCATGATGGTGCCAACATTACCATCATCATGAGAATAATTACCAGCACCCAGACCACCACTGCTACCATTATTATCACTGTCACTATCGCTGTTACCCCATCACCCGAGAACAATCACCAATACCACCACTGATGACCACTGTACCAGCATCAACCTCATCTCTGCCATCACTACCGCCAATGCTATCATTACGACCACCAGCATCGACCCCACTGCCATCATCACCACCATCATGAGCTACATCACCTCCACAACCACTGTCAATATCATCACCACCATCAAGAGCTCCAGAACTATCCCCTTCGTCATCATTACTAGAACACCACCATCACCACCGATATCACCATCAGCACCACCATGACCAACTTCCCCAGCATCCCACCACTGTCATCACATCAGCACTATCACCATCCTCACTGCCGATACCACCATCACCACTGATACCACCATCAGCACCACCATTACCAATAACCCCACCACTGTCATCAACACCAGCATTATCACCATCATCCTCACTACCGATACCACCATCACCAGTTACATCACCTCTACTACCAGCAGCAGCAACACAGCCTCTGTCTCCACCGCCAGCCCAATGTCTATACCACTATTATCACTATCTTTTTAATGTATTCATTTTAATGAAAGTTTACAGAGACTTAGGGTTTCCAGTCATTCATTGTTGCACTTTTCTCCCTGCTCACCCCCTCCCCCCCCCAAGTAACTCTTCTCCTTGAAAGTCAATAGGCCTTTTACTGTAAGAACTACCTTCCCTCTGTAACTTGATTTGTGCCACTATTAGAGCCTCTACTTGGAATATTATTGCTTTTTAATTTTGAACTCATTTACTTTCAACTTGTTCATTAAATTTGTGTCTTCTAGGCTGCAACACTTCCATGATACATCTTCAAGGATATGAACATGTACGGCTAAGCACAATTGATAACAGTGCATCTAAATTCCAAAATCAATCTCCATAATAGTCTATGTGTTTCCTACTGCCAAAGGGGCCCTTTAGAGTAGTGAGAGAAGATCTTCACCCTGAAACCTACAGCGTCCCTTTTCAGTAGGAAGGAGTTAAGAGAATACACCATCCCCTTTTCCTTATGAATCAGGGTGAAGTCTCTCTCAGGGAGGAGTGATAGGGAATGGCAAAGGACACACTGACAAAGAAGATTAATCAGAACTGGCTTTGACAAGCACTGTGGCAATTGGACAATCAAAATAGACTTTCAAGGGAGGGAAGAAAAGAAGAACGAACTGGGGAGGAGGGCAGAGAAAATAGTGCAACAATGAATGAATGAAAACCCAAAATCTCTGTAAAATTTAATAATTAAAGAAAAGAAAAGAGAAACTCTTTCATTGTTATGCACTCCCTCCCCACAAGCCCACTCACTCTGCTGTCATGTCAATGAAGGAATTTTCCTTTTGCTTTTCAAGGAGAGGAGTGAAGGGGGGGAGAGAAAAGTGCAACAATGAATGAATGGAAGTCCAAAATCTCTGTAGATACTCATTGAAATTAATAAAAAAAATACCCAATCATATATCCCTTTTAAACAGTTCTCTCCCTCATCTGTTTCAATGTGGTATACATCATTCATCCCCTCCTTTTCTATCTTCCCTCAAACCCGATGTCAGTCCTGTTTTACAGCAGTAGCCCTGTGCAATATTTGTCCTTTTGTGACTGAGATATTTCACTCAGCATTATCACTATCTTTATAACATCACCACGAGCAGCACCAACATCACCATTTGCACCAGTACCAGCACCACCACTGTTGCCATTCTTTCTTCATCAGCGCAATTATCCTTACCCATTCCACCTCCTTCACCCCACGAGGCCTTTATTCCTTCAAGAAACACATCTTGAGTTCCTACTATGCACCGACACTATAGTTTGTACTGTGAAAAAAGGCATAAACAGCACAGATACAAGCTCTGCTCTTATGAAGTGTATGGTACAGGTTTCTGTCTAAGACACAGAGAGAAAATAACCATCCTTTGTCGCATTCAAGGGTAAATGGAAAATGCTTTAGACACTTAGAAAGTGCCCTCATTGTTCTGTGGGTAAAGCATTCAGCCATTAGCCTAAAGGTCGGCGGTTCAAACCTACCAGCCATTCCATGGGAGAGACATGTAAAGATTTACAGCCTCAGAATTGCTGTTGGGTATACTCTGCCCTATCGGGTCTCTGTGAGTTAGAAATGACTTGAGGGCAGTGGGCTTGCTTTTTGAGGTCTAGATACTAAAGATGACTAGCCTCGGGGGTCAAAATCTTGGCACCTCTCTTGTAAGGAACATTTGCACCAAGGCTCCAACACTGAACTGGCTGAACTGAGAAATATTTGGTTGACTAAGTTGCTTTCAACAAAGAAACCCAAAAACAAATGAATAAGCAAATACATTACGTGGTTAGAATTGGGTACTATGCAAAAATACACGAGTAAGTAAATACAATATGTTCTTCAAACTGAGTGCTGGAGCAGAAGCAGACAGGAGGTCACGCTTGCCGTCAGAAGTAGGAAGGCCTCTTTGAAGGAGTGACAGCGGTGCTGAGACATGAACGCTGACTAGAGGGTGAAGCATTTCACGAAGAGGGAGTGGTGTGCGTGAAAAGGTTGGTGCATTCTACGGAATCCCCAAGAGGCATTGTGATAGGGGAGATGCGGCAGTGGTACACAGGAAAGAGGTACAAACAGAGCAAGTCGTGCAGGTCTCGGGGTCCACGGCAGAGGCTAAGTTTTAGTTTAAGTGAATGGGCTTAGTGAAATGCTCTCATTTCCATGTTGACAATCTCTCACTTTCTGCACTAGTTCTACTGTACAGCATAGACAGTAGGGAAGGAAGCAAGGAAACCAGTTAGGAGGACGCTGAGGTCAAAGCAGCATGAGATGCTTATGTTAAAGCTGTGATGGCAGTGATGCAGAACTGATAGGTCCTGGTGACAGACTGCGCTGGGAGATGATCCTGGCTTTGTTATCTTATCACTCCTTGCTAGCGCCATCATTTTCTTCATTTTCCTCTTTCTCTTCTTTTTTTTTCCTTTTTTTCTATATTTTATTAATTTTCACAAACATCTACAGAGATTTTGGGTTTCCACTCATTCACCGCTGCACCATTCTCTCCACCCTCCTCCCAGTTTGTTCTTATCCAAATGCCACAGTGCTTGTCAAAGCCAGTTC